TGATTGATCCAATTGGCTATATCTGGCTTCTGACAAATAGAACTAAGTGACAGAAGTAAACTTAAAAGCTGTTTTCAGTACTCAGCAAAAACTGTATGAATTTCATGCTATCCACTTTTGAGAAGCTGATGGAGCTCATAAGACTGTAATGGTAGAAATGTCTTACCTATTATGATATACTGTTTTTTTGGTTTAGGTGATAGCTGAGAACATGAAAAATTGTATTCCAGTGCATAAAAAATGTAAGTTTCCAATTAAAACCAGAAAAGTGTGTGTGCGCTCAGAAGCATAGAAACAGTTTCTTCATCACATTGTAGCCGGGGTTGGAGTGTCACTGATCCTGCAAAGACTACAAATGAAAATACATAGCTTTCTTATTGTAATTGAAATGGTTAATGAATTACAGAAAATTTTAAAGATATAGATATAAATAGAGTATAGTTCCATTGTTAAACATTATCTGTGTCAGTAGCATTCAATGAATTATCTCACTAGCTGGTGAAGGCATATTAGTTTACTTTCCAGATGCTGGACATAAGTGAATGGTCATAACCATTGCAGCAACAATGATAACAAACTATACAAGTATTGACAATTCTATTTATGGTTAAACACCATAAATGACCAATCAGGAAATTTATAATGAGTAATTTAAGAATCAAAAAATAGCTTGGTGCTACTTGTTGTGTAATAAGGTAAATATTAACTATCACAACTGGCAAATGTATTGATGCGTATAACATCTGGAACTTGTATCGTGAGTTGTGAAAGCATGATGTTATGTTGTACTATTCTTATGAACAATTCACAAGCAGTAGCTGACCTGTGATGCAGCTAGTAGTCACTAGAACTCTAAAGCAGAAGATACTCTAGTCTTTGCAAGTATAGGGGAATAAAAACATAACATAGTAGGTTTTGGCTTCATTTCCAAAAAGGGGTTGTGAGAGGGAATACACACTGTACTATGTGCCGTGCTCAAAGAAAATTGGCCACACCAGGAATTAAACTTTGGAAAAAGAAAGTTGTAGATTATCTGTTCAGACCTACAAAAATGTAATTGGTGTGTGATAGTAATTATTAAAGTTTCTCTGTTGTTTGATACATGGGCACAACAGATAACATGATTTGGGAGCTCAGGAGAGGTTCACATAAATAAAGAAGTCAACTTTAACAGTTGGTTGTTTGCAGAGTTTTGCGAAGTGTTGGGTATAACAAGTGGGTGGTACAGAATTTCAAGTGGATGTTTGCCAAGTTTGTGAAATCTGAGCTCACCAGTGCTAGATGTGATCATTATCATCATCATCTTTTTGGTAGGTTTTTCAGTGTAAGATAGCCCGGGTTAACTAGAAACATTGGGAGACAAAATATGCATGGTAATAGAGTAGGGCTGTAGATGGAAAATCGTGAAATTTTATAATAAGTGAAAATATGTTTAATTGATTAGTACATGATTGAACTGAATGCAGTGGTTGAGACAGAAGAAGGTCAAAGAAGGTGTGACATTTGAATAAATTGGATTTCTTCTTTTTCAAACCATTATAGGATTTCATTATGGTTGCACTGTAATAATCTATTAGTACTTATACTGGAAAGATTTGAAATGATGAAACCATTAGAATACGCCTAGCTAATGCTTGGCTAAAAGTTTAAATCGCTTCAGTGGTGGTGGTGGAGAGCAAGCAGTTGATGATGATGGCTGTTCAGTGTCTATTTCAGCTTCGGTTGGTGGATCAAAAGCTGCCCGACACTTTACTTAGGCTTTGGCAGCTTTTCTATTTCAGTAAGAGTGCCATTGATTGGCCCATCAGACAGGCAGCAAACTATAAGGTGTTCTGATTGCTGTTCTGCAAATTACACTATAAATACAATATTTCTGGCAGAATGTTTGAAGAACTTTCCTTCTGTAGGATGTTTGTATGAATCTCAGGCTAATTCTTTAAGTTTCATTTAGTTCAGCATTGACCTGAATCAGGTACAATGAAGTGATGTACAATGTTCTTCCACATTTTTCATGGAGTTTTTTGGGTAGCAACTGATAACATTTTCACAAGCTGCTTAGCCTTACCCAAGAGACTTGAGTAATTTGCATTCTTCTCAAGTTCTTCAAGCTCAAGCTACAAAGTGTGTGCAGAGCACAGAAATCCATGTAACTGCAGAACTTCGTGTGGCACTTCGTTAACAGTATCATCATCATTGTTGTCTTCAGACTACAAGACAGATGAATAATCTTCATTACTGTATAAGAGGAATTGAAGAGCCTTGACCATGTAACTCTCACTGTCTGTTACAATAAGAAGTACTTTTCTGAGATTGATATCCCATTGATTTTAACTGGACTAAAGCTTCTCTCCATTTATCTCTCCTATGTATGGATGAATGAGCCTATACAAGTTATTCAGGATGTGCTGTGCTTGTTTCCATATAGGAAAGGGAGACCCCTTTCTGACCATATGTCATTGGCAATAGTGAATCTCTGTAGTGAACCAATAACCACCTTGACTACAGCTTTGGCCTTCTCCATTTTGTCTCCAATCATTGAGTTAATTTTTGCAAATCCTACAAACAAATATAAAAGGTTTCTTATTTAGTAATCCACACTACAACAAATGCTTTTGTTTGTTTTTTAAACGTTAAGACTCAATATGTGTGACTTACAAACACAATGCAATTATACTGATTAATTTTTCAGCAACTGTTGTTGTCTAATAGTGTAACAAAACCATTTTCATGTAATAAAGTTTACACAGAACTTTATAGTTTACGTGAGCACCCATGAATGGTTAAATTTCAGAAAATTGAACTTAAATCTCTCTATCTTGTTTTACAATTGGACTTACACAATCTATTTTGATGAGGTTGCAGAATTATTTTTATAATTTTGATTATATTATTATTTTTAAATAAAGAAGGAACAAACATGAAGTTAAAGAGTGCATTAAATCTAGCAACAAATCTAGCAACACAGAATTTTATATATCTTAATATATATACAAAAAACAAATATGGATATATAGTACGTGTGATTTTTTTCTTTCTATTCATTTACATTTGTAAATGAATAGAAAAAATTAAATCATATTATTTAGTATACATTTCCATGATTTTGTACAGAACTCAACAGGTCTTACTTATTTATATATTTTTTAATGAATTTATTTATATATTTTTATGTTTTTACAGTACGTAAGTAACATACATACAGGTAAAGTCATCACAATACATCAGTGCAAAAAGTGCATGTAGCTTATAAAATTACCATAATCTATGATAAAACAAAGTTTTTAATCTACATTATATTATTCTGATAATACTGTTGTAGGCTGTATTTTTAATGTTTTCATTCAGGTGTTACCTAGAGGGTGCACGATATTAAGATCAAGCAAATTTGTGAGAGTAAGCTTAGATAGTTCTAAATTTGATGTCATGACATTCTAGTGAATTCGAGATGTATCGAGAGATGAGAGTAGATTAGAAATATGAGAATCAGTGTTTTGCTTTCAGTCTGTTGTGAATCGTAAATGAGTATTGATTTGGTAGAATGCCAGTCAATCAGTCAGTTTTAGTCCAGTGAAGTATTTGGACCTGTGTTAGTTATCATGTATATTCAGTTCCAAATACTTCACTGGACTAAAACTGACTGATTGATCAAGTCCCTGTGTTAGTTATCATGTATATTCAGTTACTTGATCAATCAGCCACGAACCTGTACAAATAAGTCTTCTTTTACATTACTTGTAGTACAATTAGCAAGGAATTTTCTTAGACCTACAAGTTACAACATTAAAACAAGTAAAGGCAGCATGCAGAAATGATAAAGATGAAATAAACTAATTTTTTTTTTATTATGTGCATTGAACTTTTAATTATTATCAGAAGATAATTTAAGAAAACAACCCAACAAAAGAACATTTTTACAACAATACTACTATGAATATGAATTATAATAATAATAATCATCAAGTGCTTTAAAATTTGGATCAAGTGTCCTACAAAACTCTCTGAATCCATAATCGTCAACTTGTCTTGTAGGTATACTTGTCTTCACAAGCATATGCAGTGGGAGTGGCATTGCTCATTTTTTGTGTTTTGTCGAGTCCAATGACGAGGTTATGTTCCATTTCTATAATGGTAGTAAAGTAGTTGAAGTACTTGTTGCTAATTTTAGCACGATGCCTACTTCCCAACATATTTTCTCTTTATGCCTCCTTCTCCTCAAATTGTAAAAACTGTTCCTTGTGCACATATTGCAAGTGAGTTTTTAAGTCAGTAGATTTTTTCTAGACAGGTCTTGACCATACACTGTTCAGCCTCTTGTGGTTATTTTGCGTGTGCGTACACACACACACACACTTATTGCATTCAGTTATGTAGCCAAAAGAATCCCATATTGAGTATTTTCTTCAGCAGTTGCTTGTTTTTGAAGACATGTTCAGCACACATACTGGTTCTATAGTTAAGTCAGCAAATTGAAACCCCTGTAAATGACTTTGAATGGAGGCCTCAGCAAAATAAAAAAATTTCAGCAAGTTAAGAGCTGCATGTCATGACCAAATCATTACCAACACATAGGATGAAGGGAAGAGCCAGTCTTCAACTCAATGCATAGATGAAAAAATTCATTCCGAACATGAATTAAAAAAATTAGAGGGAACATTGGTCAGTTTGTGCAATTTTTTTCAAACTTCCATGAAATAATAATACCATTTAATTTTTTTTAAATTTTATAATTTCATTTCAGTTTTTAAGACATTCTTTTTATTTTTAGTTTTTATTTCATTAACTACCTGGTTTATTATTTTTGGCAATTTTTGTTTTGGCTTTTATTAACTAAAAATCACTGAATTGGATACAGTCTTACTTGTCTGTTAGAATATATATATATATATATATATGTATGTATGTAACTACAAATAATTATTTTCAATGAGTTAATTGTGTTTAACAGAGAAAACAATCAATATCACTGATATTAGAAGTACAAAATTAACTTGCAAAGCCAATAAGTCAATAAAATAACTTTAATGAGTGACAAGTGAAATATTTGTAGTGTTTTTCACAGAAAGATATAGCATTAACGATACCAAATCACATCTGTACAGCTTATATGCTACACGTTTGTAAGAATTACAGTGTTCCAAATATTTTGAAAAGAATGCATTGAGCATGCATAAAAAATGCATAACCACATTATCAAATATACATTACACTTACATCATGTTTTAAAAACAACAACTTCTCTTCCAAGTAATCAGGTACAATTTTAACAGTTAATAATGAAGTTGGCTAAACTGCTTTTCACTGAGAAGTTTAAGTATTTCATTCGACAATTCATATCTTAATCCCTTCCATGTAAAGTGTGTTGGCTTGCCATACTCTTCTGATTCTTCATCACAAAATTCAATATTTTTGCTAAATTCAATGGCAAGGGAAGATTTGACTAATCCCACACCTCCATACTGCTCATTTGCTGGATGGTAAACACGGCCAGTTTGTGGAAGCATGAACAATTTGTTGGGTTCAAAGTTTACTAACAGCAGGTCACCTGCATGATTGTATGACAAATAATCTTTTGTTTCTCCATTTTTTTCAAGTACTTCATGTACATGTGTAAACACTATCGGTAAATCATCACATCTCACAAAGTTTTTCTCACGCCCACAAGGAGAGAAATATGGAAAGTCCTTTTCATATTTCCCAGTATCATTCTGTTTAAGTCTTGTAAAAAAGAAGTGGAGAAATTTTTTTTCTAAAAATAAAGTAAAAACATTTTAGAATAACTGTTCAAAAATATTTATGATGTAAAGTTACACTATAAATGAAACAAAATTCAAACTTTAATAGTAAAATATAATTCAGAGAGTTACTGCTAGAATAATCAAGTCACAGTTTTTGTTCATGCAGTTTGACTTCTCTCATTTCTTTCTGTTATTTCTTCTTCTCTCATATATTTTCACAATCTCTAAGCCAATGATCTTTTGTTAGTTAGTGCTATGTATATGACATAACATGGTGTCACATTTCCTCTCAAACTTGAGTGGAGAAGATAAAAACAGCTATAATAAAGGATATTAAGTGTCTTTTTGAATCACATTTTACTGCTAAAAATTTTAATTTTAAATATATAATATACCTCTAATATAACCTTATGCTAGAATTACCAAAGTGAAATGGAGTCAGGACTACAGGGACATAGAGAAAACATGTACCAAGCTATCATCAAAGTGCTATTTTTAGATGATTTGGGAGGAGACAATCTGTCAAGAAATCTGAAACACTCTTCTGGTCTATATAATCTATTGCATGATATTTGGAAGAACTTCATACTTGTGACATAGCATCACAATGCAGTACTGGGAAATAGAAATGTGGTAACTTATGGTTTTAAGAGGTTGCAAGAGTGTTTATCAATGGCCAACAGAAAGACTGACAGAGATGTAAAAGACTAATTGATTGAGGGACTACTCAATGGGAGATATCTCTTAGTTAATATTCCTGGAATATGACAAGCTCATTAAGTTATAGATGAGAGCTTAGGCCCATGGGCTGCATAACACCTCAGCAAATTCCCTAATATCCAACATTGCAATGTTCCCCTGATTAGAATTGTAGATGAAGGAATATAAAAAAAAAAAGTTTGTTTTTAAGAGAAAATTTATATAGTGAAACTGTTAGAGATAAAGGATAAAACATTTTGAAGACAGCTTCTGTAAAAGTAGAATCTCCAAAACCACATCCCAATTCAATCTGAAACAACATCCTTATCAATAAAGTAGGGTCTGTGATTACAACAGAAGAGCCTCTTAAGAAAAACAACTGTGATGAGCTATGCACATCTTCTGGTGCCCAGTTCATAAAATAAACTAGGTTTTTTTAGTTTACAAAGACTCGTAAGTTAAAAGTTCACAAGCTTTTAACCCTGCATCAAAATCTGTGATTATTTTCATGAGAAAAATGGCTGAAGAAATTGGAATCATAGCAATTCCATTTGATTGCATACTTGTGAAATCCACTAATTAGCTTTTGGTCTGCTTATATGTAGTTTGAAAGTCAATGTATGCAAATGATGAAGAGTCTAGAGAAAGTAGTATGTTTAAATTTGACTGCACTGTTTTTTTTTACAGATGGTTGGGGCAATTGAAATTGCAGTTTGTGGAAATAGTGAGTAATGTTTGTAATCAAACTGAACACAACTAATGATGGAGGAAGATGTAGTAAGGTCAGCATAGGACTTGAAACAGCTTTCTTATAAAGGTGCAATCAACCTCAGCATGTTTCTGCAATATCTTACTTTGTCATCCCCAAGGTCTTCTATTAGTGAATACATAAAAAATGAATACTCTTCATTATGAAACATGGAATGGTTAAAAAAAAGTTCTAAAGAAAGAAATATTCATAACTAGTTGCCATTCCCTTGTATACGTGGGAACAATAAAAAGATGAGAGTAAAATCCAAACTGGGATTGACAACCTCTACAATGTACCTCTTGAGTAAAGAAAAAAAGTGATAGCACTTTCTGTTTCAAGTGATTGAGATGAAATTAGTGACAATATCAGATTATTTAACATCTATCTGGAGATGTTATTGCTGAATATAATGCATTAACTTTACATCTGAAGGTTCTTCTGAAATCTTCCAATAAAAAAAAAAGCATCAACCTTGCCTAAATTATTTTGTGCTCAATCTTCATCCTAAAATTGATAAAACAAATCAAAGCTAACATCATCAAAAAACCAACACCCAAGATTACCAGAAACACTATTTAAATTTTAGTGATTTTTATGGAAGGTTTATAAAAAATTAGGAATTTTAGATCTACCAGAAATACCAGATCTACCAGGCATAATTCTCAAAGAAGGATGTGAAATAAAAGTACCTGCAACACTTTTTTTACTCAAAAATTCATAATACAAGAGGGAATCCTCAATAGCTGTGGTACTTGCAGTTCTTTTAGGCAGGATTACAGTAAATTAATCTACAAGACCTTGGGCATGGTCAAATACAACAATCAAAAGGGTTTGACCTCCTGAGTCCAAAATTGTAATTAGATCTCAAAATCAGTCAAGAGATGACAGAGCTATGAGCTAAAAGTTTGTGGCTCTGAATTTTTTCAAGTATTCTATGAGCCACTATGCAATGGTTAATAACAAGACCTAAAAGCTAGAACTCAAGTGTGAGACAATACTCCTAAAAACCACTCATAAAATAAGGGCATACACCTGCAGGTAAATTAGAAAACTGTCCATGTTAAGCAAAGTATCAAGCTGCAATGATCAATGAGGAAGAAGCACCTAACTCCTGAAAATGAAGTAGATTATAACTGACGGGAAATACATAAACCTGAAGTTAAATATCAAAATTAGTTTTGAATAAAATGAGAAACAACACTCATAAAATGAATATATGCAAAATAACATCACGGCAACCAAATAAACATTTAATAACAGCACCAAGAGACAAATGTGATAACATAAGCTTCCTTAAATACAATGTAGACATCAAGTAGAGAAAATACTGTATGACAGAAAATAACTGGCAACAAGATTTTAAAGATGATGAAATGAAAGTTAACCTTCCAACTGTGAGATGAAAAAGACCTCCAGAATTCTGCAATCAACTTTGAAAAATGTTTGCCCGAAGAATATTGAGTGGGGTAGAAGAAATACAGGTAACTGGATTCTTATCTAAACATAATAGAAAACTTGATCAAGTCCTAGCCTACTGCAATTAGTTTCCTGATCACATCCAAGGAGAAAAAGGGTTGAAATAAATTCACTACATTATCATGACAGACCAACTCAAATACAACTTATCCCTACTCAGACCTTCTATCCATGCGTAGGAAAGTAAGCTAACTGCTCAAATGAAACATAAATTAAAATGTTGGTTTCCCATAAAACAACTAGTTGAATAAACTACAGCATAAATTACACACTGAAATTCCAAAATAAAGTCCACAAAGTATCTGAAGCCTGGTTAATTATCACAGATTGTGTTGCAACCGATTTATTAGTGACATGTAAAATGACACATATTGCTCTTTTTGATACTTCTACCAGTCATCTAATTTCTGCTGGAGTAAATATGTTCTAAGTTTAGGGGACTTGAGTGTAATAATATTTTATTTTTTTTGGAAAAGATAAGACGTTTGGCATTTAGTAATGAAAAACTAACAAACCATTGGAAATTAATAGTTTTCTTTTTCCATTCATTAAAGTAGTCAGATGTTGCCATTTAAGTGAATTATATAATTTCAGAAAATTGGAATTGAGAACCAATGTTGTGGTGTAGCATTTTGCATAAAATGCCAGGTTATGTGTTTTACTTAAATATGTGCCAATTTCTTGAAATTACAAACAAAATCTCAAATATGTGTTATTGTTAGATATTAAAGGTGTTAATTTAGCCCTGAAACTGGGCTTTCTCCAGGTTAAAATATACAAGAAATGAAAAACAGCTTCTCCTTACAGTTCATTAATACTGTATATAAAAAAACTTTGAGGATTATGAATGTATTGAGATAAAAACGAGTCAAAAGTTAAAGAAAGATTATTTGATGATATTGATTATTTAGAAACTGATCAATCAACTAAAGATAAGTTTCACATTGAAACATTTTTATGCTCCATTAAAATCACTTTCCACTGCTCTTTTGTATTTTCAACAAGCATATGTCACTCTTCAATAAAAACTTAGACTTTTAACAGAAATTTTAAGTATGATGAATACTGAAATTGTGGAAGTTGCTTATAAAATCAAGTGCATTTACAGTTACAGTATGACCTAGAAGAAATTCTTGCAGATGAACTCCTGCAGTTTTGCCAGTTTATAAAACAAAAAGAGAACATGTTTGCTATAAACTTGTATGAGATTCTATAAAAGAATTAGATAAACATTCCCAAATTTTGAAATTGCATTGTGACATTTATTTAATATTACCTGCTTCTACATTAAATGATAAGAGTTCCTTTTCCACAATCAAACATGTGAAAGAATCAACTAAGATGAACTATGCAATGGCAGTAATTGTGTGATTTCTCCACCATGACCATTGAACCTGAAATAATTCACAACTCGTAATTTGCCATTATCAGTTTGAGTCACCAAAGTGTTGAAAGAAGACAATTTACAAGTATCTAAAGTACTGTAACATACTGTTAACATATTTTGCCATTATTTCTTTCCAATATGTTTAACTATTCTAATTCAAGAAAGTGCATACATTAAATAAAACTTGCATTATTATTTATAAATTTGTATTTATGTTTATACCTTAGTACAAAGCTACACAATTGACTATCTTCACTTTTCCTCACTCAAGATTCAAACCCAGGTCTTCAGTGTGAAACCCATGCAGGCTAACCACTGATCTAGCAAAACACTATTTATACATTTCTAAAACATTCATATTGAAAAGGACAAGGCATTAATATATGGGTTCTAAGACCTAGACTATAACAATGAAAAAAAATTAAAATCTGAAATTAAATGAGAAACAACACTCATGAAATCAAGGTCCCAAATACTTTTATAGTACCAGCATAAGTAATGAAAAAGTGTAAGCTGCATAAAGTACCAAGAGAATGTGATCACATACACGTAAGATTACATAAATGCAAGGCATTTCAAGTAGAAATAGAATTGTAAGGCAAAAAATGATTGCCCTTAAGATTCTGTAACAAGACTGTACAACAAATGTGGTTATATCCAATATATTCTCAGACAGAATAATATCTAAATAGACTACAAATTACAAATGGAAGAAATTAAATGAATGAGGAGGAAGTATGGGTAGAAGTAAAAACCAAAAAGATGTAATTATTAGGACAAACACAAGATATGGATTGAGGTTATAGTAGAGGTACAGTACCATATTTGAAATTATAATTTATAGGGCCTGTTAATTTACTCCTTTAAGCATCATCATCTTCTGAATTTTTTTATTTATTATAAACTTTAAGGTCATTAATAATTCATTTTTGGAAACACTTTTTTACGACATGTTCAATTATAAAAGAAACAAAAACATTCTATAGATATACATATTACATACCTTTGAAACATGATGTGAAATTCTTTATTCTAGCATCATCTAAAAAGAGCTGCAGGAAAGAAGCCAAATTAAATTCATTTAAACAAAACAGGCATATCAAAAGTTTTGTGAGAACCTCTAGTTTTAAATAAATTCAGCCAATAGAACCATAACAGGCACTGTGATCACTGGAAATATCAAATCTTACCCTAATCACTGAAGATATCATATTTTACTTTTCAATAACTAATGAAAAGTATATCTTTACTGAGGCAATTGAAGGTAATTAATGCCATCCTTGTAATCCAGATGTGGAAAAGACATGTACTTGTGCTAATCATCTACCTCAGATTAAGGTTATGCACTACAATGTTTTTTCCATAGGCTTATACTTGCATGGCCCTTTGTGTCATGCACTACTTGAATGGAGTTGTACTAACTCCAAGGGGTGGTACAGAGAATGTATAAGTTATTATAAGATTGGGGTTCATTTTCCTTGAATATTTCTATACAAATGCTTCTTGAAGTAGGTAGTCTAAGGAGTGTGAGACACTGCACGAGGACTTCTGAGTTGTATTTCATTATTCTTGATCCTGTTCTTGTACTGTGTGAATGTTTTTGATTAAACCTGCTCATTATCCAAGCAGTCAGTATAATTCTTCAGCACACTAGAAGCCAACCAGAAAGCTAAAACTCACATATAATTTTTCATAAATAAAGATTTGTTCTATTTGTATTCCAGTATTTTGAATTAATTTACTATCCATGTTCAAAATCATGTTCTACATAACATTTCCTGAACCTGCATTTTGTAGATACTTGATACTTTTAGGGCAAATATCAGTATACAGGAATACCATAGTATTATAAAACAAAATACTATGTCTACAAAAACTCTGTAAAAAGTTAAGTGGAACTTAATGAGAGTTCAAAACTCTCTTGATAGAGAAGAATTTCCTGCTTTTCTTTTTGTTTTTAGTATAAATATTTAGAGATGATCCAGAAATTATAAACCTCTAAGCTAGAATTATATTTTATTAAGGTTTTCAAATATAATGTTATTAGAAAAAAATTATGAAAGTTAGTAAATTTTATGATTCTCAGCAAGATTTCATTACAGGATTTTTTCCTTGCCAACTTGTCTGTGTTTTTAGTAGGTCTTGTCCTTTTATATGAATGAAAGCATTATACTAGCTGATGTCATGTATCATGACATTCTGAAAAACACAAAAAGCTTTCCCTCAAAATATTAATTTAAGTGAGATATTCACAGAGTTGGTGGCAAAGTCAATACAAAGGGTTTGATAAACAGATATTTTTGTAACGAGGAAAATGAAAATGACACTAGTAAGGATTTTAGGGGTATGTTTTGGGATTTTGCTTGTTCATTATTTATGTCATCAATTTGGACAGATCCTTAAACACATATTTCTGATTCGCTGATTATAAGAAGATTCCAGGAATGAAAAAGCTTCTTTTATTCTAAAGAGCTTCAGTCACTGTTTTAATGAGTAGGTCAGAGGTACAATGAAATACATACCACATCTGTTATTTCATATTCAAATAGACAAGAAGTTTATTTAATGGAATTTTAAAATGCAAGCAAGTACAATGGTGCAGAAACTGGTGAGGAATTTGACCCTCCAATCATTTGGTTAATAAAGTTTTTTCTAAAGTTTCTTTTGAATATTTTTATCACTGAATGATATAGTATGTGACAGTCAAGTACTGCCAATGTTAGGCTAACTTTAAGCAAAGCAGTGGTGCTGTAGTTGGTCTATGTTAATTTGTGTGTGCTCACTCTACGCCAAATATTAGATACATGGGTATGAACTTCATTGATTTATAAGATATTTAAAATGAAACATGTTTATTCTTTATTAGTATTAACTGCTGATCAAAACAAACTACCTATACTGATGAGAAGTAAATGTATTATTGTTAGCTATATTTGTAATGCTGTAATTTCTTTGTTAGCTAAAAGTAGGTGTGGGTTGTAATGATGATGTTAAGGTCAAAAGGTTTAATAATATAGGTTTTAGAAAGTTCTAAGGATTCAAAGACAAGTTTTTAGTACATTTGAGAGCTATTATAAATAAAAGGTTCAGAGAAGATAGTTAATAAAATAGATAATTGTTTCTACAAAGCTGACAGAGTGAATCAGCCAGTGCAATTTTATGAAGTATTTGGATCTGTGTTAACTATCATACATAGAGTTATTATATGCAAGTAAATTGATTTTTTATGTTACTGTAATACAGTTGGTGTGGCTGTAAGGATGCCTACAACTTACCACAGTGTAAGCTTGTAGAAATGTTAAAAAAGAAAATAAACTAATTTCTTGTCATTATTTGGACTGGGCGAATAATTAGTTTTCACCAAATACTTTAGAAGAACCTGCCAATTAAAGAACAACATGACCACATAATATACCAAGCAATAAGCATAGCTAATTAAATAAAATGTTCAAACAATATTACTTATAATGATCAAAATAACATTGTTTCATTTCCTTGCTATTTCCTTACTTTGATGCATTTTGATTAGTTGGCATTAATTTACAATTAGACACTTGTAATTGTGAATCATGTCAGAGTATATTTTTTAGGCATGTTTCTTGCTATTTCTATTATAAGTGGTGACAGACAGCAAACATGCACAGTGCAACATTTATTTTAGCAATGTACATAGTTTCATTTTTCTCAGTGATAATCAGTAATTGTATAGATTTAAAAAAGAATAGTAATAATAATAATAATAATGATGATTACTCAGCATCTGTAAGCATAATTAAGTTACTGCAAGATATATCCTTCATAATTTACGATCACTCTGAGCAGTTGTCTGATGGTTTTCTGAAAAACCTGTGCTATGGATGCAATTCCAAAACTGACATTTATATCTAAATACATCAACGTGTATGGAGAATATTGTGATGTGTTGAGAACCTTCTTCAAGTTAACGATATAGTTTTGTGAAGAACTGGGATCCATTCAGTTCCTTAATAATGTAATCTAATGCCAAGGTAAAGCAGTGTTCTTGACTTATAAATTTGTTTATAACTCACATACCCACACATATTTGCACTTGATCAGGGCTAGAAACCCTTTTAACAATGTCACTTTTCAAGAGTTTATCTTTTCTCCTCTATTTAATGTCTTAATTAAAAAAAATAAATGTTGGCATGCTATTTGTACAACAGTTGTCACTTTCTTGTCAATATGCAGTTTAACATTAATGTCCTTTTACTTGTCAATGCAACTGAAAAGTTTATTGTATCTTTGTATTATGTTTTCAGTTGAAAAATATGGCATACTTATAAGCACTGATAACTGTCATAAGACCAATGTTGTTTGCTCTTTAATAGCTAAGGAAAGAACCTTTCGTTCCTGGTGTTACATAAAATCTTGCACTAATAGATTAATATTTAGATTCAACAGTGGTGTCAAACATCCTAATGGTTCTTTACCACCATATGTGTAAATCTTAGAGTGATGGCTTATTTGTCATTTGAGTATGTTTTTTCATCTAAAATGTTTATATTTGCTCCAAAGTTAAACATAACTTTCACAATATTTGAGTTTGGCTTGATATTTACTGTATGTAAGGTTTTTCTCCATAGTCCATTTCAACCCCAGCTCAGAACAAGTACACTTGGAACCCTAAACTGACTTCATGTGGCATGTTTAATAGGAACTTCTACATTTATTCATATTCTTTGCACAACTGCTGCTTTTTGTTAGGGAAGTTTCTCTTTTGCTTCACAACTTTTTGAGACATGCAAACATGAAAAAAATAATTTGCTTACCATATTTATGGCATATTTTTTCATATGTAGGACAGCAAAAACATCCTACATGATGAGGAAATCGACTTCCACAGTTGTAGTGTTTATCTGTGACTTTGTCTTTTGGTGTTCTGATACATTGTGAATCTATTTTTTTTATATTGAACTAATGTATTATTTCTGTTCCTTGATGTAACTGCTTGCACTGCTGGTCTTGATACATTTTCAATATCATCTGCTTGTACTTGGAATGTCTCCAGCACCCTTAGATGGTTTAATAATTTTACCTAGGGTATGACTTTTAACTCTTGGTGACAATGTATTTTGCACTACTTGTGATTTTATTTCAATATTTTGATCATTAAATTTACAAGTAGTTGCTATGTTTCAAAACCTGGTATGGTAGGATTCTTCGGTTTCTCCATCTCTTAGACAATACTGCTTAAACACATAATTTAAATTTTCAACATTCACTCCAGGTGAAAGTTAATTGGCTAGATATTAAAATATTGCTTTATAATCATTTGCTTCACTATCATTATATAATGATTAAATGTATCATACACTTCACTACCAACACAATGCAATAAAATGTCTTTTATCAATTATTGTTTTTTATGTTCAAAGCTCATAGGTAATTACAAAATCACCATACATGTTTTTCCATAAAAAAGTATATCTAACCCAATAACAATTTTGAACACCTGCATCTTTTGCACTCCAGAGAACATAATATACTTTTTAGCATTGCACACATTTAACTTAAATGAACTGAACCAGGAATCATTTTAATGGTCCATCTTTATACTTTTCCACTTACTGATATTCTCTTTGTAGTAATGTTCAAAACTGGAAAACATTCCAAATAAGGCCTAAATCTGGTACAAAACTGAAACAAGCTTCTTGTTCTTAAATTCAAACTTCTTTTAAATAACAGCCAAAAGTCTACTTGTTCTTTTTACCACAGCTAATCATTTAGCAAAGAACTATGGGTTATACTAAAAGTAACATCTAGATCCTTCTTCTTTCCCATAACAACAATATTTCAAAGTCCCTTACCTTGTGAATAATTTTATACCTCTTAAAACAAAAACTCATCTTTTACACTATTGGCCATTCACTAAGAATTTCAAGGCTTACGTTATTTTGAATAAGAGAAGCATTATCAAAAGAACTGACTCTTCCCTACATTTTAGTATCATTAGTGAATTTAGAAATACTACTGCTAAAAATCCATTCAAATCATTAACAAAAATAATAAACAATAAAGGTCCTAAAATAGACACTGATGATTCCCACTAATGTAATCACATTTTCCCATATAGAATAATGCTTATTTTGTCATCATTGTTTGCTTTCTA